AGGAGACTCGCTTGAGCCCAGGAGTTGGAGGTTGCTGTGAGCTGTGATGCCATGGCACTCTACCCAGGGGGATAGCTTGAGGCTCCATCTAAAAAAAAAAAAGAATCTCCAACAGATATGTAAAAAGATGTTCATCATCACCAGTTATCAGAGAAAGGCAAATTAAAACCACTGTGTGTACCACCTCACAGCTGTTGGGATAGCTATCTAACATCAAAAAGATATAATAGGTGTTGGCAAGGATGTGGAGAAAAGGGAACCCTTGTAACATTGTTGGTGGGACTGTAGATTTGGTACAGCTATTATGAGAACTAGCGTGGAAGGTCCTAAAGAAATAAAAGTAGACATGACCCAGCAATCTCTCTTCTGGGTATATACCCAAAGGAAATGAAATGACCTTGTAAAGATGTTTGCCTTCTCATGTTCATTGTGGCATTATTCACATTAGCCAAGATACAGAAACAACCTAGCTGCCCATCAATGGATGAATGAAGAAACTGTGATGTGTATATATACATATAGTAGAACCTCTGTAAGTTGACCACCCAAAGGACTGTAACAAACTGACCAACATGTGGAGGTGGTCAACATAAGGAACTAGGCCTACAGTACTGATATGCACATGTAGCGCACATCTGGTCTATGAAAATTAGTTCAACTTTTTTTTTTACCTCTTTTTTTTTAAACTTTATTTATTTTATTTTATTTATTTATTTTGTAGGTTTTGGTCAGGGCCGGGTTTGAACCCACCACCTCCGATATATGGTGCCAGCGTTCTACTCCTTTGAGCCATAGGCGCTGCCCAGAAAATTAGTTCAAACTTAAGGAGGTGGTCAGTGCAGGGAGGTGGTCAGCTATGGAGGTTCTACTGTATATTTATATATCTGTGCTAAAAATGTATACACATCTTAAGACAGGAAAAAACTGTTGAAATTGTAATAATATAAAGCAATAACAAATAATGAATGCAAGTCACATTCAAGCACTTCTTGAGTATTACAATTTTAATACAGTTTTTTCCTTTCTTAAAAAGTGTATTTTTTCTGGCACCCTCTGTGTGCGTGCATGTGTATAACTATGTGGTGGAATATTATTCAGCCCTAAAAAAGGAGATCCTGCTTTTTGCCACAACATGGATGAAACTGGAGTACATTATGCCAAGTGAAATAAGTTAGACATTCCACTCTTACTGTGGAAATCTTTTTTTTTTTTTAAGGTCAAACACATAGATAGAGAATAAAACATTGATTACCAGAGTAGGTGGAGGGACAGAAAATGGAGACATGTAAGTCAAAGGATACCAACTAGCAAATATGTAGGATGAACAAGTGGAAGGATGTACAGTATGGGGACTATCGTTAATAATAGTGTGTGTATTGTATTCAGGATTTTTGCTAATCGAGTAGATTATATAATTGCTAGTTTTGTCATGGGGGAAGAGTAGATAATTAAGATGATAGCTATATTAATTTGTCCATCTACAGTAACCATTACACTATATATGTATCTTATAAATTATAGTGTTCACCTTAAATATGCACTATAAAATTCATTTAACAAAAGAAGTACAGTTAATACATTAAGATACCTACTCTGTGCTTGGCGCTATTCTAAGTGCTTTGGATAATGCCTCATTTAATCCTTTTAATAACTGAATGTGATTGGCCCAAATAGAACCCTCGTTTTACAGAGGAGAAAATGGAAGAATAAAGGGTCTTAAATAACTTACCTGAGGTCTCTTAGCTAGGAAGTGGCAGCGCCAGGAAGAAGGGTGCCATGAGGATTGGGGAGAAACTGTGGAAGGAAGAGGGCTTCTCCTACTACAGATACCTCTAAGCACAAGCTACTAATGGGATGTTGGGAACCCACCTGTGTACTCTCTCCCCGAAGGGCAGACCAGGCTTCTTGGCTTGCCTCAGGTATGGATATTCATCTGAATACTATCTCTTCTTGTGCAGGTTGGCCCTGCAGCATGGGGATGGCCATGTCGTGGATTACCTGTCCCAGCCGGTCATCGACTACATCCTCAAGAGCCAGCTGTACATCAATGCCTCTGGCTAGCAGTCACACAGCCCTCTGCTCCACTCTTCCCTTGTCCTCTGCCAACACACTGGCCCCACTGGTCTCTGTCAGTCCCCTGTTTCTCTCCTGCCTCTCTGTTTCTCCATCTCCTCATCTTGACTGTTCTCCCCACTCGCTGACTTAACCCCCACAGTGTGGGGGACCTGCAGAGAACCATGGCATTCCCTACTTCTCAGTCATCTTTGGACAAACTTTCCTCTAGTCTCTGGGTTGGGGGTGGGTGAGGGAATAGGGGTGGGTGTTGGGGGAAGTTGCTGTCCTTAGAGATGTACTGGTGTCTGTCTCCCAGCATGCTCTAGAGAGGCGGCTCTGGTGCCCATCCTCCCAGCATGCTCTGGGGAGGTGGCTCTAGTGCCCATCCTCCCAGCATGCTCTGGGGAGGTGGCCCTGGTGCCCAGGCTCCCAGCATGCTCTGGGGAGGCAGCTCTGGCTCTTGCCTTCCCAGCATGCCCTTTACTACAAAGGGCTATTTTTCTTTTCTTTTTTTTTTAAATTTATTTCTTTTTCTTTGTTCACTCCTTGTAGAACTTGGATGAAGTCAGTGTCTGTGGTTCTTTATGTTTGTAGTCTTGATGCACTCCTGTGGGATTACTTCCCTTTTGAAGGACACTGTAGCCAGCCTTAGCACTCAGCAAGTGCATGAGGGCCACACGGAGGAGAGAAGGCCAAGCCACCTCCACTTCTCCCACACAACACACACACACGCACACACACACACAAACACACAGCAGCAGCAGCTGCTGCCACCAGAGTGAAACTTTCAGGTTCTAAAATCTGGGAGGCAAGTCAGGGAATAGCAGGTTTCTTAGAATTTGAGTCCATTTCCTTTCCCAGAGATCATTTTTCTGATACTCTGGTCTGTGGTCACGCAGAGCCAGTCCAGCCTCATTTTCTGGTGGCATCTGTTCATTTGCTAACATGGGCTGTGGCTGGTAGGGTGGTGTGGGCTCCCCACCAGCCCAGGCATTTTCCTGCAACCTTCGGATCACCGTCTAAGCCAATGGAGGCCGTGCTTCGCCACATTCCTTATCCGAGAAGAATCATGCAGGCAGGGCCAAATCCTGACAACGCAGTCACTTCTTTAAAAAACAACAAGAACAAAAAAGAAAACCAAACATGCTAGGAATTCACTCAACCCTAGAGATCTTTGCTAATTGGAATTATTTATTACTTGTTTGGCTGGGAAATGTCTCTGTCATGATATGCATTTGGGTTGACCTAGGAGAAAATAATTTGTTACCCTGCTGGGATTTGCTGGTTCTTACCCTCTGTAGCTTTGGTGACCCAGGCAGTGACTGAGATGGTTCCTTCCAGAGAAGCAATGCCTCGCCCTTGTTCCTGGGGCTGGTCACATCTCCCACCGAGCCCAGCAGCCACAGGGATCAGCTGAGGAAATCTGCCTGACAGGGGAGTAGGTTCCCAGAAGAAAGATCTTGGAGGGGTCAAGAGCCACTAAACTATTTCCCCTCCTTCCTCCCTAATTTCCTACCTTACTCTCTGCTCCTGGAGATAGTTTTGACAGGCTTTGTTCTGGTTGTTAAGGCCTCACTCAGGTCACACTTGGAGAGCTGTGAGGAGTTTACTCTCTTGTGTTTCATGTCCTTTATCCAGTCCCTAGCTTTTGGGTTTCTGGTTGTCCTGAGGAATGGTCCCTGAGTATTAGGATACTTGTATCAAATTTAGTGTCAGCTGTGACATAGGAGGGGCCAGGTGGAACCTGAAACCAGGGACAATGTTCCTTACCGCACATCTCACATCTGCAACATCCTTCTGTTGTCTCCAGGAAAAGGAACTGGATTTAACAGAAGAACACAGTAGAGCAGCATCCAGAGGGGGTGTGATTCTTCTTAGATTATGGAAATAATATCAGAGGAAGAAAGGAAAATCTCATTCTTGGGTCTCCTGCTTGACTAAGGATCATGAAATAATTATCTTAAAAAACCTGTAGCACTCAGTTGATCTAACAGTCCCTTTAAGGCGAGGGAGCAGAGGTCGATGGGATTAAATGGTTGGTCTAAGGACACACAGCATATGTAGGCCCTGACAAGAAGGGATCATTTCCCTGGCCCTTAGGCCATCATGCCACATGGCCCTGCCACTCCCCTATGATGCTGACCAGGAGCACATGCAGTCTCTACTTCCCCCAGCCTTACCGTAATTTATGTGTGTCCCAAGTACACCCCTACATGGCACCCTCACACCAGTCCTGGGAGGCAAGGATGTGATGCTGAGGGAGGTTTCCCTTAGAAATCAGGAGATCGCAACAATTTGGAGGAAATCCTAGAAACTGACCCAAGAAAGATGGCTCTAGGGAAAGCTGAGGAAGACCCAGGAAATGTTCAGGATGACACTATTGCTGGAGAGACAAAGATGGAAGACTTTGTCCAGACAATACTATCATAAACAAGGAAATGAGACAAGGGAAATCAGAGGACTGTGCTCCTGGGGAAACATGGCTTTTTCAAGGACCTGGAGCCCCGGGTAGAGTTTATGAGGATCCTCATGAGCAGACCTGAGAAAGACTTGACTTCTTTCATTTCTCTGTTACTCTGCTGGACTCTGGTCAGGCCCCATTTAGTCCACAGCCCATGAGAAAGAAGCGGGTGGCTCTGCATGCTTGGTGTGCGGCAGGAAGGCATGTGGGAAAGGGAAGAGAGCAAACCGAGCTGAGATGAATAGGCACGGTTGGAGCTGACTGGTGGACCCCAGGGGGTGGAGTAAAAATAGCTCTCTTTCAATAAAAGGAATGTGAATCTCCTTTCCGGTAGAATTGTCCATGCCCACCCCACCCTACTCTTCATTTGCTAGGGGAAGGTCAGAGTACCTCTCTGAGTCCAGAGCAGGACACTGTACTGTGACCAAACCACAGTCAAGACCAGAACAATGTCCGGTCTTAAGTGGTGCCCCAGGTGCCAACAGGATAACCTCTAGACCCCGACTTTGCCTCTGGAGTTCTGCTCCTATCTAGGAAGGCCAACCCAAGACGGGACGGCTCAGAGGAAGTGAGAAAGGCATGGACAGCAATCACCACCTTTCCTCATTTCCTACCTACCACTAAAAAAGTCCCTCCCACTTTTCTACAAGTGACTAATGTGAAAACAGGAAGGCAGAAAACCCTTTGTCAATGACTCTCTCCTTAAGGAATGTCTTCTAGGAAGTCTGTGCTGCTATTAGGTACCTCAGTCACGCACGCCCCTTCCCCGTAGCCTCCAAGGCTAGGCCTTCTTGCTTTCACTTTCCTTGAATGTACATAGGAACAGGGGGGGAAAGTCTCTTACTGAAGTGCCTGAATCCAAAGCTAGAGCGTCTAGAGACGCCGTTCTTCCCGCCTCAGCTTGGCCAGCCTTTCTCTAGATTCAAGCTCCAGCTTCTCAGAAAGCATTAAAGAACTCACTGAGCTAAGCAGAAAGCGAGACTCCATAATCAAATGACAGCAAAAGGCAGAGAATTTCAGGAGAAGTGACTTGTACTTTAACAGCCCGAACCTGCTCTCCCCAAACTGACACACATATGCACACTTGCAGGGGACAGAGACAGAGAAGCATATTATACTTTACTCCTCAAAACAGTCATGCAAAACTAAAACAGCAGACCATGGAAAGCTCAGGATCTCTCCCAAGGCTACTTACTGCCAGAGGGCCAACAGGGGAGCTGGGAAGGATGGGAAGAGGGGCGCCGTTGTAGCTCCTACAGTGAGGACACCTTAGGGATAGTACTGTAGTGATCATGGTGAGTGTGCCCTGCCAGGTTCACCCAGTCCGCACCTTCCTGTAGCTGCCCACTCAATTCTTCATGTGGTTTCTTTGTAGTGTGAGTTTGGTGTGTCCTGTTAGCCTGTTCTGGTTAGTAAGAATGAGTTACAGCTTTTTCCCTCCACCTGCCTTCTTGACCCAGGGCAGAGACTTCAGCTTGATCCACGTGATCTTGAGGGTTGGCATGGGGAGGGGGAAGCATTTTTTTGAATCACTTTTTTTTGGTCATATAATCTTCCATTTTAAGAATAAGATTTGCTTTATGGAAATCAATTCATTAATAAAAACTATATTTAAGTTGCAAATAACCATTTCACAGTGAAATATTTTGAGTAAAATTTCATTGCTAGAATAGTCATGGACAAGTTTTATCACCAAACTGTTTCGATTACGTTAATAAATAAGACAATGCTACTAGAGTCTTGTGTCTTGGTCTAGAATCTTCTCTGTGAGTTGCAGAATTGATCACTTTCTCTTCATAGTCTTCATAGGAGACAATAGTTGTTAGAATGTACTTAGAAACAGGAGCTTTTCTGCCTGGTTTAGCTGATGCCACATGTGTAATATAAAAAGTTTATATAACTACACCCACGGATTGTAAGGGGAAGAATAATTAGCAAATTTGTCAACTGTGCCTACTTTTTCCAGTTTAAATCTTAGATCCTGACAAATCTTCATAGTCCATTGTTGGTTAATCTTGGCTCCTTAATGAAATTAGTACTTTATGAAATAAAAATATATTTGTGAAAATTGAAAGTTAACTAGCTTTTTGGCATGAAAGATCTTAACTAAAACAGCAATTGTTAAACTTACAATTTGTTTTGGCAATGTAAACAAACAAAAATGAATAATGTATTAACTGTTCATTCCTGCTATGATTATTAGTTCTTATTTCATCTTTAGTTCTAACTTACATCCTGGATTGGGTAAAGTCTCAGTGAGGGTTGCTATTAGCTAATAATCACCTGTGATTCAGAAGCTGAGATAGTAATTCCCTGGTAGGCCAGCTCCTTTAAGGGTTAGTTGCTTGTTTGTCAGATTAGTTTGTTTCTTTTCAAATTATTTGGGTTTTAGGGTTCTTTGATTTTTTTAAATTTCTGCTTAAAATTGACATTGGTCAGCTTGTGTGTATCCAGGTGGACTTGTGGCATATCATAATGATGTCCGATATACTTGTAATTTGATTACTTGTGTTTATGTTTGCAATTTTGTTCACAAAGCTAAACACTGCTTTTTTTTTCTTCATTCTGAGAGTGTGTAATGATGAGAGCTTGTTTAAAAAGGAGTATAGGAGTACAAACACTGGCTTACTTTGCTAACATATTAATTTATAAAATATATATACTAAATATGAATTAACATGCATATACATACACATTTCTTCCCTTATGACCTATTAGAAAGCTTCAGATGTTGGGATTTCCTAGGTAGTTCCATGTAGCCAATAGGACAAAGAAAGCAGAGAGAAATTCTAGTCTGTTTTCCAAGTGGGAAAATGGAGCCACAGCAAGAATCCATAACATTCCCAGGACCATACAAAACATTAAAAGAAGACATGATAAACATACTCCTGGTCCTTGAGACTTGTTCCAAACATTGGACAGTACTATCTTCTTACCCTTTTCTCCAGCCTCCCAAAAGTACTGGAAAGAAACCACATCTTGGAATAAGATCAGAAGTGCAGCTGCTAATAAGTCATAAACTATGGGCAGTTTCATTTCTACCCCTCTCTCCAAACAGAAATCCCTAGGAGTCAAGGTAGATGATGTGTGTAATAGGCTACCAACAGCACAATTAATCAGAAAACTCTCAGAGGAGGAAAAAACCTCTCACTACAAATTATAAATACCAACTGGAAATCAGAAGGAAAATTCCCTTAACACAGCAGGATCAAGTCGAGGGCTGGCATCAGGATGCTAGGTCCCAGGTAACCTATCTCTAAGCCACATCTCCTGTTCTCTTCTTAATGAATAATTTGTCAGGGCAGAAAGGAGGGAATCATTTCTATACCAAGGGAGTTCCCTGGGTCACTTTTCTGTTCCTTATCTGTCCTCAGGCATCATCTCCCATTTGTCACGGAAGACAGTCTTATGGCTTTCTTAACAACCTGTCCATGAGGAATCCTTTTATGATTACATGTACCATGGTTATTAACTAATGGGATCCCTCACCAAGCCCCCTGGAATATGTATGGTCTAATCCCATTCTCGGCAAAGACAGAAAACCAGTCACCAACAATGTATTCTCTTCTTTTATAGTATAGAACTGTCCCTGAAAGGACCACATCTTCCAGATCCTTTGAAAATTAGATGTGGTCATACTGGGTTTTGGAATGTGAGGCCCCTACTGGCCTGGCACTCCCACGAGTCTTCTTCCTTCACATTCTTTTCCCTGTCTACCCATCTGGAACAGAGACAACCCCTTTTTCTTCAGGCAACCTTAGAAGTACATTATGAATGGCATGGCCTCTGAAATGACTATACAAAGGGCCACCTTGACATCCTGTTTCCCACCCAGTCTGTTGTGGGATCAAGAGAAAAAAGTCTACTGTGTTTGAGTTATTGCGTATCTTTAGGTCTTGGTGATGTAGAAGCCAATCTATTTTAATTATACACATACATTTTCTGAGTACTTGTTAATTATAGTGCAAGAGCTGTAGCATGTGTGACTCACAATGCCAAGACAGGATTATAAATTCACTTCCTCAGAAAACAAAGCAAAGTGGTTAGACCTATCAAAATTCTGGGTCTAGGTGGACAGAAGCAGAATCTTTTCCTCAGCTATTTGGGTTGATGGTCAAATCAAGATCTTAATTTATTATGAAGTATGACATATGTACCACAAGTTACCGATATTACCTTTATTTTATAGCTGATGAAAAAAAGACAAGGACATTAATTATACCATCTATCCACCTTGGGTTGTTCCACAGATAAATCTTCATGCTTAGGAGGCAGCATCAGTTAAATCTCATAAAGTGCTCTCCTGGTTGGGAAGGGCAAAATAAGATGCTCAGAAATAGGAATTAAAGATGTTAACTCTAGGACCCATTGCCATTCTGTGGTATTTTCATTTCCATTGCTTTGGTATTTCTACCTTAGGCTTAGAGTTTAGTAAATCAGAAACTGACCCCAGGGATCTAACAATTGCTTTTTATTTTAAAAAGCATCCAAAAAAATATGGAAGTGAGGCAGCATGACGTCTTCTGAGCCAAGGCAGAAGTGCCTCTGGTTGGCGATTCCCACTGGTGTTATCATGACTCCACAATCTGTTGCAATCAGTTGTGGAAAGGGGCAGAGTAACAGCTGGAATGCAAAGACGTGTGTACAACCCAGAGCTCTCTCAGCTTTGCCAAAGCTCAAGTGGCCCCATGGGACGGTCTTGCAACATATGTTCCGTTGAGCAAAGAGGTTGCAAACTAAGAGGTTACTGCAATAAACACCGCTTGTAATGAACAACGTTTGTAAGTTTATTTTTTTTTTATATGTTTTTCTTCCTCATTAGACAATCAACTGCATGAGGGCAGAGACTAGGTCAACACTGTACTGCCAGACCCTGGCACACAATAGGTACTCAATAAATATATGCTAGAATAATGGATGGAAGGATGGATTCTACCCAGCTCAAGCATGGGTAGGAACATTTGCAGCTATAGAGGGAAAGGGAGAGAGAGAGAGAACATAAAATAAAACATATAAGGCTGGGCATGGTAGCTCACACCTGTAATCCTTGCACTCTGGGAGGCCAAGGCAGGAGGATTGCTTGAGCTCGGGAGTTTGACACCAGTGTGAGCAAGAGCAAGACCCCCATTTTTATTAAAAAAAAAAATAGAAAAATTTGCCTGGCATTGTGATGGGTGCCTATAGTCCCAGCTACTTGAGAGGCTAAAGCAAGAAGATCTCTTGAGCCCAAGAGTTTGAGGTTGCTGTGAGCTATGATGACACCACAGCACCCTACCAAAGGCAACAGAGTGAGACTCTGTCTCAAAAAAAAAAAAAGGCAGATAAAAAATAAAACACATAGATGCACATAGTTTTTAGTGTTGAAAACTGAGATTGAGGACTAATAAATCTTCTAGATAATTTCTCTTCTTTCAATGCCCAAGCCAGTTTTCTATTACTCTGTAACTCAAAAGTAAATATCTTCCCAATGCTTGCTGTGCTGGTAGGAAATGCTTTAATAAACATACAGTCTCTAACTTGCCATGGCATTATTAAGAGAAAGGACGTCGCTTCAGGACCAGACTAGAAGGTGGCAGGGCACCAGCAAGCACAATTGCCCAAACTGGGCCTGCCTTTCAGTCCTCCCTCCATCACTGTTCACTTCTTCCAGCTTGCAAGTGGAGTATGTGGTCACGTCCTGGTGGTAAGGAGGAGGAACTCGGATGAGCAAGAAACTTCCAGTGAACAATATGAAGCAATAGTGTTTTCTTGGCCACAGTGTGGCTGCATTTCACTTTCTGTCTAACACTGGGAAGAATTTTATCCTGGGCAAAGTCAGCAATTTTTCCTTATTCAAAGAATAAGCTGACTATAACCCAGCAGCACTTGTCCAGATTGCAAGACTTCCATTTACAACTATTCTGAGGCAAATATCTGCCTGAGCAGTTTGTTCTTCCATCTGATACACCCTTTGGGGTCCAGGTCCTTGATCAGTCTCATTGCCCAGCATGAGGGGGCAGGGAGTATCATATTCATACAAGAAGACATCCACCTGGCCATGATCTTAAGGGATGGGGTCAGGTTCAGTTGATCTGCACACACCCATTAAACATATTCAAATGCTCCCATCCCACTCCACCCACATGAGCTGGCTCTCGAGCTCTGAGGCTCTGTATCCGGAGAACCTCAGTTGAGAAATCTCTCTGGGAGTTTCACTGCTGCTCAAGAGCCTGGGTATTGTAGCACCCTGGGGGCAGGTTGTCTCTAATGTTCTCTAGGTTCTTCACATCAGCCAGAATCCCATCTATGCTTGTCTCCAGCAAATGGAGGTGGCCCCTCTGCCGACGTGCCCTCTCTTCCAGCTCTGACATCAAGGGCCGCAGCTGACTGTTGAGCTGCGTCTTGGCTCGGAAAAGCTTTTGCTCCAGTAAAACCAGCCCCTCTTCATCCGCACTGCCAGGCTGGTCTATTTTAAGGACGGGAGTAAACAGACAAAATCTGTGGTTAAATCCCTTCGAACACACGTGTCCTTCTGTACCCCTTACTGGTTCCTATTTCCACCTGCCCAGAACAAACAGTATGTCCTAAATTTAAAAGGCTTATTTTAAATTAGAAATAATTTAGAAAAAAGATCCCAAAGCTCCATTATTCTAGCTACTAGGCTATGAACAATCCAGGTTAAGACTCAGCTCTTATAGCTCAGCAAAGTGAAGTTTTGATTTCGCCTCTCCTATTGGGGTCAATAGTTCATGCTCTGAAAATGTGAAGCCTGAAGGTCATAGTGGACTGAGCACCATCCAAAGTATGCCTGAAACAGATCACCCCTAGGATCCGAATCAACTCCCAATTATGTTTTCTGAACCACTCTTAGGAAATATCTTGCTGTTTTTGATTAGAAGACCTTTAGAAACTGGCTGAGCGTCAGGGTTTATACAGGCCAAGGTACACTTTGCTATTTGGAGGATGGATTCCAGCTGTTAGAAAATGATCTAAGTCTTCACTCAGGCCCCAAACAGTGGGAATCTGGCTAGCTATTATTTCCAATATAAAATGTAATCACATTTTTCAGGTGTGTTTTACCCATGAACTATTGAAAACTAATGTCAGTATAAACGGCATCTGATCAGACACACTAAGTTCAAATAGTGGCGCAGGGTCAACTCAAACTCAAGGTCAAGTTGCCTTAATATCTGCAGTGCAGTGATAGAATTTGACTGTATGAGTTTATTACACCTAAAACAATGAATCTGTTCCTATTCTAGGACTCAAGAAAGCAGGGTAGAAACAACACTGTAACAAAAATTTTTTTTTTTTTTTT